ACACACACACACACACACACAAACACACACGCAAGGCTGTGTGTGAAATTCCCCTCAGGATGAAGCCATTACATCTCCATCCACATTTGATCCTGCTTTATCCTGAATGTGATGCAATGTTTTTTTTTTTTTTTAATCCTAATACGTGTAGATGCTCCGTCTGGATTCTATGAACAGGTGAAAACACCATGCACCTCTGTTCTGACACTTGTCTCTAATCGTTACAGAGGACCAGCTGCCTTCGGGGTTCCCCACTATAGATATGGGTCCCCAGCTGAAAGTGGTGGAACGCTCTCGAACCGCCACCATGCTCTGTGCGGCCAGCGGAAACCCTGACCCAGAAATTTCTTGGTTCAAGGATTTCCTGCCAGTCAACACATCCAATAACAACGGCCGAATCAAGCAGTTGCGCTCAGGTAATCGATGACTTAGTCTTGTAGCTTTTGTCCCCTTCCTTAAGTCCCACATTTAGTTCCACCTCACAAGCTTCAATAGTGCCCCACTCCTTTTTCTATTTCCGTTGGCCTTTTTGAACCTTGCCCCGATTGCTGTTTCAAACATTTCCTGCCGTGGTTACTGGCCGTGTTCTTCTGCTGTCCTTCTCTGCTGCTGCTGCCGCCGCTGCTGCTGCTATGAGTTGCCTTGGATGGTTGCCTCTCCCTGTTAACTCTTCTTGGACTTTGAAAAGTGAAAACTCCCAATTTTCTCCGCTTTGCTCCAAAACACTCGGAGGCCTTCCTGCACAAATCACCATTACGACAGGGTTGATTTGACGAAAGTAGCGTTAGAGTTTGTCAGTACAATGTCTTCAAAAATGTAAACCCAGTTAATGGTGGTGTGTTTTGAAGGAATTGCCTCTTCCAAGCAATCTCACTGCTGTGACTAATCAAATCGGTAAAATAACTCTCTTTGTCCTTCTTTTTTTTTTCTCAGAAAATCAGAGTGACTGTTTGTGGCAATCAAAAACAAAAATGGCCTCACAATTCTGTCTCCTTAAGTTTTTTTTTTTGTATAGCCACAGTAGTGTGAAAACCCCCAATGAGTCTTCTCAGTCCCTTCCTGCTACTTCCTTCCAGGGATCAATTCTGGACACCAAACCCTCTCTTGTGATTGGTCTCCCAACTTTTTGTTTCTTTGTGGATGGAAAAAAAAAAACCTCTATGCTTCTTTACCTGCTTGTTAACCAGCTGGCTCAACCCAAAGTCCTTGCTCAGAGACCCCCTATATCTTTTTATTTTTCAAAATTAAAAAAAATAACAATAATTGCAAAGCTACAGATTTTCTATCATTTTAATTAATTCCTAAACAAATATAATGTTTCATGTCATAGGTTAAGAATATACCTTTCTATTTGACTTTTTGGGGGTGGGAGTTCCAGTGTTTGTCAAGGTGTGTAATCAATGGACCGATTGTAATGCCATGTCTATGCTGTTTCTTTTCTCTTTGTATCTTTTTAACCACAGAGTCCTTTGGTAAGTGCTTTTGTCCCGAGGCCCACCGCCTCACTGTCCACTCTTCTCTATACCTTTCACTAATGTTGCTGCTCTTCCTACTGCTGCTCACCTTTACAACATTAAAGCGTTGTTAAAAACGCATGGCATGCACTGTACTAACAGCTCCACTGGACACAGATAAGCATACAGACGCTAGGCTGCAACGTCTCGGTATAAAACGAAACACGGACTACATCAAATGACACGCATACACGCACCCGTAGCTGTAACAGCCTACATATTTGTGTCACCCTAGACGTACACGTAGTTGGCCTCACCTTCACCCGTGCACCTGCAGCCTTTCCACACCCAGGGAGTTATAAAAACTCTTCCCTCGCACTCGCCGATTTACTTTTTCCACTCCTACACTTATTTAATTATTCCTTCCCTCACTCACTCTGTCATTCACTCACCTACTTACGCCCCCCCTCCGCCTCCCCCCGCCCGCACCGCTCCACCCTATACAGTTACCAGTCAATAAGTCATCAACTCTTGATGTCTCTTAGGTAGGCCTTGAGTGGAGCCACTGAAAGAAAATCAATGGCTACTCGATTTCAGACTTCTAGACTGTAGAGTCAAGCCTACGTAAGGCTAACTTTATTACCACTGGTTTTCTATACCAGTGCAAGAAAAATTCAGTAGGTTGGAAAAAAAAAATCTTTAATTTGGAAAAGAAAAAGAAAAAAAACTGACAGTGTTACCATCCCCAGAAATCCACATTTCTAAATAAAACAGGGATACCGAAAATAACCAGTACTTCCTGCTCTTGTGTGTTTTACGGCCGCCATTAGTGTTTTTTTTTTCAATTCCCTGTTCCAAAAATAAAACTTGATTCGGTTTGTGTTTCACCACGTTTTACAGCTAAGTATAGGCCAAGTTGTTCAACAGTAGTTGCTTCCACTAGGTAAAAGGGGAGACATAATTCTGAGTTTCCTTCCTATGGCTTTGACAAAACCAATTTATCGTAGATTGGAACACACCATAGTCAGAATCAGAATCAGAATCGCTTTTATTGTCATTGTATAGCATACAACGAAAGTCTGTCATCAACCCACGTTTAACGCAGTGGCAAAGTCGTAATTACAATAAATGAGTACGAAAAGACACTTCAAGACAAACAATCGAATGAAAACCCTTGAGCGCAGTGGTAACTGAAAATGCCTTCTCGTGTCATGTGATGACGTGCCGATGTTGCGACTTACCCCTTGTATCAGTGCAACACTATCATCAAATCAGTCCGAGAGGTACTGTGCTTAACATTATTCATTAACAAGAAATACAATGCAATTGACTGCATTATTTTTTTGAATTATTTCTCTCTTCTGACAACGATCAGATAGATTTGTATGTAGGCCTTCTACTAGCGTACTGCACTGAGGCACTGCAACTGGCAGACTTTGCAACTTTTATATCTTGCTATATATTACTAGTATGTCATACTTGGAAAAAAAAAAAACAATGCTTGATAGGAACAGGCCTTCAGCTACTACAACTCAGTTGCCTCCTTTCAAAACCATAGTCCAGGCTGAGTTCTGCTTGTCTTGTTTTGAGTATGTCAGTTTTCCATTCAGAAATAGGATGGTGGGAAACTGAAAATCACGCCATGTCAAACGCATCCGTTGGACCAAGACATGCTAGGAAACACCAATTTTAATTCCCGGGTCTATGGCAGTTGGCCACGCAAGGAGAAACGATACACACGTTTATTTTTGGTCATTTCAAGCCATGTATCCTCAAATCTGAATTTGATGCTGACAAATCAACATCATCCATGCGATCTGATCAGTGAGCAGCATGCCTGGGACCCTGGCCAATGAGAAGGAGACGCCATGTCATGGAAAAGGGACTTGAGGGCAGCGTATATTGCCATACTGTCGCTACTTCTACCAGCCGAGTCACTGTTGCCGCTTGAGGGCTCATAATGCACAATTATATGATTCATTGAAGATGGACCATCTTTTTTTCTGGCTAAATGTATCACAAAATAGTTATCACCTCGTGAGAAATGTAATAAGTTATGACTTCAATTCTTTTTTTTTTTTTTCTGGGTCTGCACAGTTGCGCTCTGATTCCGTGGCCCTCCAGCTTGACATTTGCAGCCGAAGTTTCAGATCGTTGTAAATGTCTTCGATGTCAGAACCTCTTGTGGTCACTCCAGAAGCATTTTTTTTTTTTTTGCCCCATGGTACATCGTGTGCCTAACAGTGTTAACGTGTTGGTGGTTGGACCTCCCCCTCCACCTTCCAAAACAAAAAAAAGCAGAGCACTGATTTTGACATATAAGGGGGACATGTGTAGCCTAATACTGAAATGTATTCAAAATCTAGAGACTGAGCGCAGCACACGTATCCTACCCTGCTGAAAATCAATGAAGCCCACTCAATAACCCATCTCCTTATAGCTCTCTCTCTCTCCGTCTTTCTACAATCTGTCTCTTTCAGCTTATTCTGTCTTGAGTTAACATTTTCTCTTTCTTACTTTTTCTCTCTAATTTGGTTCTTCTTTCCAAGTTACTCCCCCCCAGTTCTGTCAGTATCCCTCCCTTGCCCCCTTTCCCCTTTTCTGTGGCACTAACATTTTCTTCTTCTTCTCCCTCTCTAATCTCGTGCATTCATTGCCCACTCAGGTGGCACGCCCATACGAGGTAAGACCGCTGGGAGGACCAACTCGACACAGTGGCCTGATTCCATTCCAATCCTCGGCTTCCTCTTGCGCCGGTGTAGGAAGCAGCTCAGAATGAGTGAAATCCGTGTTGCCGTAGCGGTAACCGCTCATCCGGCTGCTTCACATCTGCAGTGGGAAGAGGAGCAAGAGGAGGGGGGGGTTGGAATTGAGCGAGCAAATTCATTATACTATGACTTTTAATCACCTTCCCTCTTCTCATCTTTTCATTATCTGCTCATCTGTTCATTTGACCATGTCAGCCCCACACTCGTTAACATAATTCCATCGCTTCCTTAATCATCATATAGTGATCCCTCTTTTGTACCTATCACTTTAATATCAATTGCCGTCTAACATTGACCCTCCCTTCGAACTAAAGCATGGTGTGTTCTTATGTTTCGGAGTTTAGGGTGACAATGTTCACATTTTTTTTCTTTTTCATTTTTTTCTTTTGGGGTGACCTGATTTCCTTCTCTTTTTTTGGGGAGGTGGTTTTGACCTCAACTTGACCCCGCCCCCTTTCGTTCTACCTTGTCTATATTTACCCAATCAAACGTCCCAGTTTTGTTTCACCTCCCAGCTGTTATTCGCTCAACCCGAAATGTCCAGATGGCGAAGACACACATTCAGACATTAGTATGCTCGCATACACGCGCCCCCCCCCCTCCCACACACACACACACACACACACACAAATACACACATGTTTCTTCATGATTTTTTTTTCCAACCATTGCTTTCTCTCTTCTCTCTCATTCCTGATAAAAAGCCCCAAACAACCACTTTTTGATAAAGTTTTTATGGGCGCTTTTTTGCCTTCCAACACCATCAAAAAAAAAAAAAAACTGGTTGACTTTTTTGACAGTTTTTCTATTTTCAGGGAGTGAGAAAGCATCGGCCCCCTTCCAAAGGCTTTGCGTATGTCGTTTAATTTTTTTTTTTTTTTAATCTGTTGGCCTTAACAAAGGTCCGTTGATTTCTTTCCCACTTTTATTGGGTGTGCATTTAATGACATCACACTCCTGATCCCATTGGTGGATCCGAGAAAGTCAGGGTTGTGTTGTTTCCATGGCACTGGTTTTGAAAAGTTATATAACCACAACTCAATTTTCAGACAGTTTTCAAAAGTCTATTTGTAACCGGATTTCTCAACATGTTGACTCTTTGGCTTATTTATTTCTGTCTTGCATGAAGAACCATATTCCCTCTTTTGGACTTTTTGTTTCCCTCTCATTTCTAAATCAGGATGCTGACCTTTGTTTTGAGGAGATTTTTGCTGACAGTGACAGAAATGTGTCCCCATTGAACGGGCTCTTTTTTAGCCCTCTTCTCCACCGAGTTCACTTTTCGCTGATATTCAAACTCATTTGTCCTTTACAATAATAAATGTTCTGCACACGATTACGATGCGTTTAATAACTGTTGATTCAATGTTTTGTGTGTGTTTCTGTCCTCCTCTCCGTATATTTTCGTTTCCTCATTCCTGCATCTAGGTGCATTGCAGATTGAAATGAGTGAGGAGTCTGACCAGGGCAAGTATGAGTGTGTTGCCACCAACAGCGACGGAACTCGCTATTCCACCCCAGCTAACCTCTACGTCCGAGGTAAGAGATCTCGAAGGGCACTAAAGAACCTAATCAAAACTTATAGACATGTGTGTACTGTCTCTAAAGCCCCCAAATGCAAATGCCATTGCACTTTCATTCGAAACATATTAAGAAGACTCCTTGTATTCATTTTCTGCAATGACATTTGGAAATACTTTACTGTTTTTCAATAAATAGATGGAAATTAACCCTTTCATGCCCCCTGTAACCTGATAAGGTGTCCACTCTCGTAACCACTGTCCCTGAAAGGGTTAAAAAAAAAAAAAATTAAAAATCTGATTCAACATTTAATTAAAAAAAAAAGAAAATGGACTGATAAATTGATTAAATCAAATAATGCCTATTTGCAGTCCTCGACATGTCTGATACATGTACAGTTAAGTTATGAAATAGTTGTAACCTAAACTGTATGAATTATGGACATGGAAGTACAGTTTTTTATTATTATTTTGTTTCCAGGAATGTGAGTTAATCAAATGATATATTTTATTGTACAAATATTATACACAACGCCAGATGCTATTTCACTTCCAAGTCGTAAATGAGGAGGCTTCCAAAACAAGGGTCGTCTTTCCACACAGTTAACACAGGGCTGAGTATTTTTACTGAGGCTATTAATCTCTCTGCCCTCCCTTCTTAGCCTTTAGACCCCCAAGAGAAAATAAATCATCGTCTGGTTAGGACTTTTCATGTCTCTAGCCAAAATCTGACAGGCGTCTTACCTCTTCGGGCACTTGGAAAGCATGCACTCTCACACACGCCCGACCAATGTTTGAGTCTTGAAGACGTTTTTAATCCGGAGGCCTTTTGCTCTGTTGCCACGCCAACCAACTCAAAAAGGAGAGAAAAAAAAAAGCAACCTTTAAACAGCCTGATTGTTGCTCACTCCAAGGAATTAGAAACAAACACACACAACAAGATGTACAATTTAAAACACATAAATGTCATACTCGAACAGACATATTTATGTGCACAAAAAAAAACAAGAGTCAGTGATGTGTGTCTTGTACTTGAAGGCTCACAAAAATACTGTAGCGAGTTCAAGTGAGTGTTTGACGGACTGTGACGGGTTTTCACCGACACCCTGGCCCGCCACAGCTTCTGGTTTTTTTTCTGCATTTTCTGTGGAGCTTCCCCTCTTGTCTGTTGCCACGCTCCGCTGTCTAACGTGTTTTCTCTCCCTGTCTTTTCTCTGATATTGGCCATTTTCCTCTTTACCCCCCCCCTCCCTTCCATTCACCACCCCCACTCTGTTCTTACTCGCAGAGCTCCGAGAAGGTTGGTACTGTGAAGACAATGTGGTTCTATTGAATCTCTGTATTGAGTGTTTCTTTTGCTCAATTAAGATACCATTTGTGTTGGTGTTTACTGCCTGGTTTATGTGTTGTGCAGTTTTTTTTTTTCCTGAGTGCACGTGCATTTTCCTGTGCTTTTTCATTATTATTATTATTTTTTTTTGTTATTATTTTTGTGGGTAGCATTTGTGTTTTCATGCATAAAATATTTAGTTCCCGGTGCTAACACCCTGAATAAAACATATCACATACACCCAAGCGGTGACTTACCTTACTGTTGGAATGTTTGCTGTCTTTTCTGATTGCCATGAAACATCATTTGAAAGCACGTGGCACCATGAAAACACATGCGCAGGTCCCCGTTGTCATCCACTGCGCTGCACTTTACTCAACAACACCCTCATAAATGTCTAATGGTGCTTCCTTTCCTGCCTTTCTGCTTTTATTGTCCCGCGATCCAGTGCGACGCGTCCCCCCTCGCTTCTCTATTCCCCCAGCGGACAGTGAGATCATGCCCGGGGGCAACGTCAATATCACCTGCGTGGCAGTGGGCTCGCCCATGCCCTATGTAAAGTGGATGCTGGGAGCGGAGGACTTGACCCCAGAGGACGATATGCCCATCGGCCGTAATGTCCTCGAACTGACGGATGTGCGTCAGTCCAACAATTACACCTGTGTTGCCATGTCAACGCTTGGCGTTATTGAGGCTGTGGCGCAGATTATTGTAAAAGGTGAGTTTATCAACATATGGAGAAAAAAAAAAGGGACACGTCTGGTCTCGCAGAGCGAGCTTAACCGAGTAATATAAGGAGGCAAGGGTTTGACCTTGGAACTAATAAGCCTTTCACTCAGTTCCATTCCAATTTTCATTTTCTTTTATGCATAACCGAGCACTGTAAACCTCAACTTTCTGTCGAAAACAAAAGAATTGAAGTCAAAGCCTCAAGTAAAGCAAGCCTTCATGAGAAATTGTATAATGGCATTTAAAAGTAAGAGATTTTACTTATGAAGGAAATGAGGAATTAAATTGTTCTGCACTTGTTTTAGTTAGCATTTCATCTGCATGCAACCATCTTTGCTACCTTGAACTTGAGTCGGAATGGACACCGCACGCGTGAGCTGTGTGATTTCTCTGAGCCCAGCGGTTCGCCAACTCTTTACAAGTTTCACATCAAAAATGCTCTCATCATGAGTGAGATTAAAATACAGTAGCATACGGTAATAGGTTCTATGGTGTACAAATGTAACATGACGCACAGCGCCAACATAACTTATGCAAAGGGGAATTAAAAACTGTACCAGTACGTATAATAAAGATTCAAGTGAAATGTATTACACATAAAAATTTATTTAAAGTGAATGTTCTGTACTTAAAAGTTAAGTACAACTGAACTGTATTGTAATTCAGTAATTTTTTTCCCATTTTTTTTATTAATAAATTGAAGAAAAATATAATATATTCCTATGTTATTATGATAACTGCAATGGTAATTATTTTTAAATTTCCTAAGGTTCACCATAATTTTTAGGAGTTTAAACTGTGAACTGTCGTCTGAGTGCATTCGAGAAATAACATTATAAATTGAAGAGATTGTTAAATTATCTCCAACCTGAAGTCCAAATTAGATTTTTTTTTTCATTATTCATACTGACTGTATTCACATTGGTGAATCATCAATTATCCATTTTCAAGCGACAATAAACTTTCACTGTGTCATTCCTTCAGCCCTTCCAAAGGCTCCTGGTACACCCGTGGTGACTGAAAGGACTGCAACAAGCATCACTCTCACCTGGGATTCTGGCAACCCTGAACCTGTCTCCTATTATATCATACAAGTAAGTGACAGTCACATGAACACACTGACGTGTGCAAGTTGCATCGACTGGCTCAAGCAAAACTGAATACGTGTATGAAAATGAAACAGAATACCGTATTTTCTGCACTATAAGGCACTTCGGAGTATAAGGCGCACCTTCAATGAATGTCCTATTTTAAAACTGTTTTCATATATAGGGCGCACTGCATTTTAAGGCGCTTAGAATAGAAGCTACAATTATGGCCGAGGTTGTGTTATGCATCCACTAGATGGAGCTATGCTAAAGGAAATACAATACAATACAGCTTTATGGGTGTAACGCTTTCACAACCGCTGCAGCTGTAACAAAGGGCTTTACAGAACATTTAAAATACTACATCCGAGAAATCTAAATATTGATCCATATATAAGGCGCATCGGATTATAAGGCACGCTGTCAGCTTTTGAGAAAATTGAATGCTTTTAGGTGCGCCCTACAGTGCGGAAAATACGGTAATAATTGTTCAAACCACTGGCATTTATTTGTGTAATGTTATGTGACCAAACGCTCGATCACAGGTCATCCCTCATCTTGTGTCATAAATCATCGAAGCGTGTTGGTTTAATGGCCGCCTGTTATTGTGTCTTCTATCTTGATGCACTCTGTCTTGCTGCAGCACCGTTCCAAAGGCTCCGAGGACCCCTATAAAGAGATCGATGGCATCGCCACCACACGCTACAGTGTGGGTGGCCTGAGCCCGTACTCCCATTATGACTTCCGCGTGGCAGCTGTTAACACCATCGGCCAGGGTCCCTCCAGCGAAGCGGTAGAGGCTCGCACAGCGGAGCAGGCGCCCTCCTCACCTCCCCGACAAGTAAGGGCAACACCTTGAACGTTCAAAGCGACCTGTCAGGCATCCTGAGTATTACGTGATAACGTATATTAAATGCTTAATCCTGGCCTAAAGGTACGAATGTGTTAAAAAAAAAAAAATCTTGATCTTACATCTGTTTGCTGCAGAGATTCCATTGGGGGATTTTTTTTTCAGATTTTGTGTGTTTGTATCAGTCCTTCAGATCTTAACATGGAACAAAAATGTCATTTATTTCAGTTGTGATGAAAGGATGCTTGTCAGAGTTGGCATTTACAGCTAACATGAGACGACCTTGGTGTTGAAATCTGGTTTTGATACATTTGATTCACTATCATGAACAATTGGGGGCTTCCTAGTGGGATACATCATTCTCCTCAGCCATAAATTTGTACTTGAAGATCCCATGCCACATTTTTAAAAAATCTTTGATTTCCACCATAATTGCTCCATTGTCTTTAACTTCGCTGGAGCTGTGGCAAGCCCGAGGCGCTCTCATAACTCAAGTCATTGCTTGCAAAACAAGGCAAAAAAAAATCACAAAAACACTCAGGAAGTCAGGGCACTCTAATCACTGTGTTTAAATTTAATGATGAGTTTTGCCGATACATTTGCATAAGCTGTATATTAGCGTTAATTAGAGGCAGTAGAAGTACATCTTAAGTAATTTCTATTTGGCTTGCAGGTCAGAGGTCGCATGCTGAGCACCACAACGGCAATCATTCACTGGGATGAGCCGGAGGAACCAAACGGGCAGGTAGTGGGCTACAGGGTCTACTACACTTCGGACAACACGCTGCCGGTCAACCAGGTATTTGCCCATCGCGTGGGACTCAAACTTTGCCTACTCTGTGTCAACGCCTGTGATCATCCCTTGCCTTGTGTATGGCTACTGTGCAGTGGGAGAAGCAAATGGTGCGGAGTGCCAACTTCATCACCATTCAGGGCTTGACTCCTAACAAGACATATTACATCAGAGTGTTGGCTTTCACCTCCGTTGGAGATGGTCCCCTTTCCCAGGACCTGCAGATTATCGCCAAGACTGGCGGTAAGACACCGAGATATGTCACCCTTAACAGATATAAGTTAATAACGACCTCGTTCTTGAACTCTTTAGTCCCATCGCAGCCTTCAGAGTTCAAAGGAGAGGCCAAGTCTGAGACGAGTATCCTGTTGTCCTGGATAGCGCCACCCCAGGGTGGCCCAGACAACCAGATCACAGGATATGAATTGGTTTATCGACGAGCGGACGATACAGAGGAGGTGAGCGTTGAATTTGCTCCTTGATTGTTGGTTGGATGTCTCGATGAAATGGACTAGTCACCAGTCAATCACACGGCACGTTATAGATATCCATTCAAATTCACACTGATGGACAATTGCAGTCCTACAGTGCATGTTTTTGGAGTGCCTTTCAATGGAATTTCTATTCTGGTTATTGACATTTACAAAGTCTGAAGCGACGGATGTTCATGTGCCGATATCGTCATGTCCCCTTCAGAAGAAAGTAAGCTTTGAGCCGACAACCTCCTACCTGTTGAAGAACCTCAAGCCTTTCTCAGCCTACACTTTCCAGCTGGCTGCCCGTAGCAAACATGGTATTGGCGCATATACCAACGAGATTTCCATCGACACGCCGCAGACGCGTAAGTTCAGCTGCATGTTGTGGAGTCTGGATGGAGTGCGTGAAAAGGGTCAGGCTTTGTTTGGACAATGCAAAAATAGTGGAGATATGACTTGAATGGCACTCAGTAGAGTGCCAACAACCAAGAAGGCCAATGACAATTCAGCGTAGATACCCATCGTCTGGGTTATGGACCGAAATTTTGTCAACAAGCCGTGGATTTGCTCAAAAATTGTACCCTGTTTCCTTTATTTCATGCCCCTGGAAAATGATTGCATATTCAGACCAATGTAAAAATATTTTTAAAAACAGACAGAAATGTTCACTACGTTGTCATGATAATCAGCATTTTTAGTTTGCATTGTGACAAATAGGCCAACCTGAATTCTGACTTACATTGACCTCAGTTTTGATATTTTAACAAACGTCGAATGTGAGTTCCAAAACCTGGCATTTTTTTTTTCTTTCCTGATTGGTACAACTTGGTAAAAGTAATTCTTATTGTTGGATATCAATGTGAGGTCTGTAAGTATTCAGTACAAGTATGGGTACACAAGTCAGACGTTTGTAGCTGGAGATGTCATTCTCCATCATGGATCAAGCGCTCAGACTTGAGTCGCACAAGTAAGTTCCAGGAAGGTACGTATGTGTGTTCTAAGCTCTATTCAGTCTATTTTGTGTTGCGTCTCTTTGAAGCCATTCTCTCTCTATTTCATCAGTCAAACCAAAGTCGACACCCATCATTCAGTATCTTTGTTCAGTCATCTTGCTTTCTAGTCAGAGGGCCATTTTTTTTCTTGATAGCTTCTGTTCTCCAGTGTTTTGTTTTCATTTTATGTTTCTTTGTCTTCTGTTCTCTGTCTTGTGTCTGCTCCATTCCACCCCCATTCCTCTACCTCACCCCAATGACAACTTACACACACCGCCAACTTCACACTTACCCAAAACAATTCCAACTTCTGCCTCCTCAAACTGGCCAATCAGTTCCTTCAGCACCTCCTCAGGACATAAGATGCACCAGCCCCACTTCTACCAGCATCCTGGTAAGTTGGGCACCACCACCTGTGGAGTTTCAGAACGGCGTCATTACGGGATACACCATCCAGTACTCCACTACCGGGGTCAACAAAACATCCAAAAGGATTGACGGCGTTCCGACGGAAGGTTCTCCGTACCTCTTGGAAAACCTAGAGAAATGGACTGAGTACGGAATAACAGTGCGGGCGCAGACGGAAGCCGGCGACGGACCGGAGAGTTTACAGCTGATTATCCGCACCGAGGAAGATGGTATGTTTCCAAACAGTCTGAGGATTTTCCCCCCTGCTGTCACTGGCTCGCGCTACCCGACTAATACGACTAATGAGCTCCAGGCACCTGTGACTAACTTATGCGACAATGCACTTGAGAACATTTGAAAACCTTCCCGTTTATCCTTCCCAACCACCCAAACTGGAAAAAAAAACTTTTCTCTACCCTTGCCACCGCTTTCGCTCCATCAGCTGCATCCCTTTTTTCCATGCTGCATTTTTTTAATCTACTTTTTCACTACTCTTTTTTTTTTTTTTTTTTTACTGCTTTTTGCCCTTTTCTTCTCAAATCCTAGCATTGGAATTTCCCTTCCTTGGAATAACAAATAACCCTCAATAACTTTGGCTGAACCTTGGCCTTCCTTCACTCCTAACTGCTCGGCCAAATCCCTTCCACCTTGACAGCTGTTTTGAATGTGTTTTAGCCACATTTCATCAATGTGTTTTCCTAATTTTGTCATATTTTCAGCAATATTTTGACTAATTCCTCCTCCTTGCGTTCCACCAATAACACTGACTCCAGTGTCGTGGGGGAGAAATGTAGTTCTTGGCAGCATGAGAGTTTTTTTTTTTTCTTCTTGATAACAGTATTTTCTCTTTGACTGTCTGCCACTGTTTATCTGCCCGTGGCGACAAACCCCTTACTATCTGCCATTCTTATCTTTCTCTACATTTCCTTCTTATCCTTCACTGCTTTTTCCTCCATGTTTTTCCTCGAGCACCCGCATTTTTTTTTTTTTTACTATTTTGACCTTTTTTCAGCCAGACATCACTGACAATTTCGACTTTTTGGATGGCTGCATTTTTACATCCGTTTTTCAGTGTATTTTTCTTCCCCCAATCTATTTTTAATTAAAAAGAATACGTCCGCGCTGACGTTTAAGTGCCCATCATCGGTGACCCTTGACCTCTATCCCAAAATGCATTTATAGTTCCAAGTGGTCCTCCTCGAGGGGTGGACGCAGAGACAGTGAACGCCTCAGCCATTAGGGTGAAATGGCGAGCGCCAGCCCCTGAGCTGCAGCACGGTCAGATCCGAGGCTACCAAGTCCACTACGTGAGGATGAACTACGGCGAGCCTCAGGGTCATCCCTCCATCAAGGACATCCTTATAGAAGACTCACAGGTACCGTTCCTAAATGGAATACTATGTCATTCAATTTACAGTTTATTGTCTTATATGAATTTTAATTGCATCTTTTCTGTGCTGCTTCTTCATTTTATGAATACTCAGTGGGAATATGACCAGACAGCTCAATATGTGAGTAAATAGTTCTTTAAGCATGTTACATAATGACAGTAATAAAGCCTCAGATGAAAATCAGTCATCTTCATGGGAATGTAGTCTTAAATGTCCTCCAATTATTTCAAGGCCGTAAGACTTACAGTGGGTGGAGGTCAACAGTGAATCTCATCCCTTTATTTGTGCTTTATGCTGAAAACATTTCCCATCAAAAATTGAATATAAGACATCCGATCAATATTTCTGCTTCATTTCCAGTCGAGCTCAACCTCGCACCCAAAATCTCCAGCACAAAATTGCATACCATGATGTTTAGGTTTTTCACCTTTTGCCAACATTGCCAAAGGATGCACCTGACCGGCCGCTTATTCTCTTGCAGGAGGCACTTCTTGGAGACTTGAAGGCCGACACTTCCTACTCTATCTCAGTTGGAGCTTACACCGCCAAGGGAGATGGCGCTCGCAGCAAACCAGTTGCCATCTGCACTGCTCTGCCGCGTAAGTTACTGGAATATATCAATTCATTCATACCATAAGCATGCACAACAACCATTAATGATTTTTTTGAGAGTTCATAATTAGTACAGTTTGTACCAAATCTTCTTTAGGGGCCACTTCAGATTCAGCAGTCGTCCCAGTTTTCCTTTCTTTGGAAAGGAACAAATAGCTGAAATGCCAATTGCCCTCTCATTTTAATAGGATTGGAAAGACAGGCAAATATAATTTCAGGCATCATTTTAGAATTGACACGAAAGTATCAATTCTTGACCAATGAACATTCATCACTGTGTATAGCTCCACCCTTAGGCAAACATCTGGACAAATAATGGCCACCTCTTAAAGGGAAAGTCAACCCAAAACTATTCTTGACAAGAATATGTTCTATGCAGCCCCACTTGTCTAAACAAGGCATTCTGATTAATATTACGTATGTGGAATATGAGTTAATTACTGAAATCCACCCCTTTTTATTTATCTCAGTGGGCGGCCATTTTGACACTTACTGTTGACTGAAAATGACATCACAGTTGCTCAGGGCTCGGGTAACAACCAATCACGGCTCACCTGTTTTCTGAAGCTGAGCCATGACAGGTCATTACCTGAGCCCCGAGCAACTGTGATGTCATTTTCAGTCGACAGCAAGTGTCAAAATGGCCGCCCACTGAGATAGATAAAAACGGGTGCGCAACTCATTTTCCACGTGCACAATATTAATCAGAATGCCGTGTTTACACGAGTGAAGGTAAAGCAAACAGTGTAAAGAAAATTAGGGTTAACGCCCCCATTAAATTGCCGTTGATTGCAAATGAGTTTTGTCAATGCGAACACTAACAAACTCGTATCATGTTACAAAACCCACATTGAGCAAAGCAATATTATACTGTCTAATACTAAGAATTTTAATCACAATTTTAACAATGGTTCATGTATCATATCGTGTTTACTTTTCAAAGTTCTGACCTGTTACGCATTAGTTTGTTTTGTTTTGTTTTTTCATTACAAAAATCAGGTTTATGCATCACAATTTTCACAGTTTAGCCATTGGTTTTCCTTACAGTCTTTTCTCCTAATTCCTTTTTGTAGTGCCACAAAAGCCCAAACTAATGGCAAGCGCAACTGACTCAGGCACCGCTCTGCTTCAGTGGTACCCGCCACCGAATCCCCCCACTCCAATCCTGGGTTACCGCCTCACCTTTGGCCGTGTCGACGTCCTTCCCTTCACAGTGGTGGAGTTCCCAACCAAGGAGAATCGCTACACAGCTCATGACATCCACAAGGGGGCAAATTACGTGTTCAGACTGTCCGCCCGGAACAAAATGGGCTACGGAGAAGAGGCAGTTCAAGAAGTGACCACACCAGAAGGCATCCCAACCGGATACCCAGAAAATATTATCTCAGAGGAGATGTCTGCCAATTCCCTTCGCTTGACATGGAAATCAGTGCCACTCATTGAACAAAATGGAAAAATTGTCAAGTACTCAGTGCTGTACAAGGATATAAACAGTCGGGGCAATTCCACGGAAGTTGTGGTGCCCACTCCAGGGTCAAGTGTTTTGTTGGAGGGTCTAAGTGCCGATACTGTGTATGATGTCATGGTGTGCGCGTTCACCACTGTCGGCCCTGGTCCGTACAGCCCCGGTGTCCAATTTAGGACGCAGCGGCTAGACCAAGGTAGGACTCAACACGCTCTCCCTAATAACTGATCTTCATCGTCCAGGACACCAGACACACTTCCTAACTGATCACTCTAGAGCCTACATGCACACAATCATACACACGTCTGGTTACATCCTAAGTGTCCTTTTTCATTGTCTTGTCGCCGTACTTTTAGACAAAACTTCCTTTTCCCAAAGCAAGGTAAGATCCTTGGGTCTGTCCGGTCACTCTGACAAAATGTTGACCCAAGCAAATACGGGTAGATGGCTAATACACAGATATACCCTTTAACCTGGGTTCAGCATTCAAGAGTTCCTCCTCGGGTTAATCTTGTTTATTTTGTTTTTGTCTCTGTTTGTCACCCTAGTTTTTGCCACCAACTTCAGAGTAAAGGCCGCCATGAAGAATTCAGTTCTGTTGTCCTGGGAGGTCCGAGACAAGAATCCTACACAGCCATTTACAGTAAGTATTACGGCTGTGCATCTCTCCAATTAAAGACGATTGGATACGTATCATGATACATGGGGTGCAGTAGCATTCAAGGACGGTTGATTTTTATTTCCCTTTACTAAGAATAAGCATTTGAGGTGGGGGGAGGGGTGGGGTATGTGTGAGTTTCACCACAAATTTAATGGAAAATAAAGGCATTTGAAGTGTATAGGAATTCAATGTATCAGGCATCGAAAAGAAATAAGGGGTATGCCGCAAAAATATTTGTACCTCATCTGCAAAAACAGTATGCTGTATTTTAATGTGATGCTTACTCTTCGAAAGAAAACATTCATACCTTCTCCGTATTCAGATCCTGTACGGAAAAGGCCAGTCTGTGGAGGTGGATGGGAAGCAGACACAAAAGCTGATCACCGGTTTGCAGCCAGACACCCTGTACTCTTTCTTGCTTACCAACCGGGCCAACAGCGCCGGGGGCCTACAGCACCGCGTCACCGCCACTACTGCTCCAGACATCCTGAAAAGCAAGCCCGTCGTGGTGGGAAAGACCAACGCTGATGGCATGGTGACTGTACAACTTCCATCCGTGCAGACGTCAGCTAAAGTCAAGTAAGGAAAGCCCCATTCGAGAGACGAACGTGTGATTGAATGCAACAGAGATGCTCCAATTTCCTAAAAATAGAATTAACGTCTCTATCAGCCCTTTGAGCTAATTCCACCATCCCTCCCTTGCATCCTGTCTTACGTTTATTAGCCAAACAGGAGGGATTTCTCTTTACGAGTCGGCGGCCTTACAATTCTTCAAACTCCCACAGCAGACATGGCAAAAGCACAAAGCTCGTAATCTCACCCAAACCCAGAATAAATATAGAGAACCGGTGCACTCTCCACTGTAAATCTCTGCATGATTCATTCCCCTGCAACACCCACACTGGTTTTACTTTGCCGCCATCCTGTCACTTTTTTTGCTCTCATTACACTCTTTCCATTTTGATAAAAGATGTAGACACAAACTGTAATCAGCTGCATGTTTCATTTTAGGACTAAAATACATCATCAGCAATTCCACTCTCCGAGAGCATATCTGTTCATCTCACTGCTGCAAATTCAACGTTTCACCACATTTGCTGTAATGCCAGTTATGTTATTAAGTGCGAGCAGCAAGCGGAGGAGTGAGTCATGCACTGGGGACACATTTATCATTTTAGTGTGAGTGCCCTCATGGCTTGGCGGAAGCTATTGGTGCTCCAGCTGATAAAAAAAAAAAAAAAAAAAAAAAAGGGAAAAAAATGGCCTTTTATTTTGTTCTCCAATGGAAACTGGGACATTTCATTAGGTACACCTGCACATAATGTCCACGACAAGAGCTGTACATGTGTTGCACTTTTAGAAATAGAATAAGCATCAATTTTTGATTCACACTATGACACCATTTTAAATTTTATGATATGTTTAGAATTGAAGCTGTGGGGCTTTATAGAGCGATATAGAAAAGAGCGCATCTAGTTCAGGATCTTCTTCATTTAAACTCAACCCATCCTGTCTTTTAGGGGTTATTACGTTGTGGTGGTGCCGCTGAAGAAACAGCGAGGAGGGAAGTTCTTGATTCCATGGGAGGACCCAGATCAGATGAACTTAGATGAGGTACAGTCATTTGTTTATTTATTTTGGAATTGAAAAAAAAATGTTACATGGTTTGCTTTTCATCAACACTGCTGCCCTTTTCAATTTGAATGATCTTGGACTCGAGGGCACCACATCTGAAGTATTTTTCTGACAATGTATGCTTACACACTGGAGCTAGACTGATTTCAGCAACACGTTGCAACAGCCTTCAAATAACAGTCACTCGGCTCCATACTTGCCAAGAACTTTGAGTCACAGGGTTAGTGTTGTTTACAGTTCATACAGAGAGTGAATACACACGCTGCAGGTTTTTTTCAGCTCAAAAGAACCAGACCTCGAAATAGCAGTCAGTCTCGGCCCAAACACCTTTCGATGTATGCTAGAAAGCATCGGCGTGAAAAGTAATATCACATTTCAGCATGGCAAAATGAAAAAAGAATGGCTTTACCTGACAAAAATTACATTTTGACACAGCCCTGAGCTAAATGCAATATTGCAAGGAAGCGTGATCAAGAAATTGCCGAAACAAGAAGGCATGCTTGTAGGCATCCTCCCCAAAGAGTGAATGCTTGCACGAAAAAAAAAGAGGGTTCGATAAAGTTTCAATTTTAGCATCTACGCAAAGCAATGATGATATCTGTCTCCCCAAAAATTATATTTCGCTATGACATAAAACTGACATAAAAGGACATTTGAATTGGGAAATGAGATACATGTCTCAAAATATTTGGCCTGAATGATTTCACTTATTAGGAATGCCTTTCTTGTCTACTGTCTGCATGGTGAAATTTGATTTCTGTTCCGATGATGATGATGATGATGATGATGATGATGATGCATTCCCCTTCGTGATATTCTCTAAAGAGGCTATTGATACTTTGATGATGATTTGTGGGATGCTAGTGGGCCGTTGCGTCTGGTGATACTCTTTGAACGGACCATTGATACTTTGATAATGGTTTGTGGGATCCTAGAGAGTTTATATTTAGGAAATTATGGTTAACAGGGAGCATCATACTTGACTAGTGAGCAGCCAGCCTTCCTGTGTGGTCTCCTGGTGGGTGTTCTCCGGGGTAGTCCAACTTCATCCCACATCGTAAAAAAAACAAACAAACATTTTCTTGTTAGTTTAATTGAAGACTCTAGACTGTCACTTGGTGTGAATGTGTGTTTGTCAATGTGTGCCCAGCAACTGACTGCCTACTGTGCTGTCCTTCCACGTCAGTTGCTGAGAGAGATTAACCGAACCAGCGTGAGCCGAGCCCTGCGCATCCGCAGACAGGCCGGCCAATCAGATCCCAGAGCGTACGTCAGCGCTCAATTTAAAACCCTCCCCCCGGAGTTCACGCTCGGCGACGGGCAAAACTACGGGGACTTCCGCAACCGGCCACTGCAGAACGGCCAGGAATATGTGTTCTTTGTGCTCGCCCTACTCGACCTTTCGGAGAACGTAAGATACAAAGCACCCCCCTCAACTTTGTCAACGTGTTTCGGTTATTAACATTCATATCCTTTCACACGCTCTCCCACAGACCATGTTCTCCACTAGCCCGTATTCTGATTCGGTGACGTCATCGGGTGTGGACCCGCAGCCGATCGTTGATGAGGAAGAGGGTCTCTTGTGGGTTGTCGGTCCCGTCTTGGCCGTTATCTTCATCGTGTGCATTGTCATTGCCATCCTTCTCTTCAAAAGGTAAGCAGAAGCAATCGATGGATATCTCCTTTTGACTCGTATTCATGCAGGTGTATTTGGCATCTGTACTGCTTTCAATAAGTCTTTGTTCCATTAAAGTCGTAGTTCTGAAAAAATAAAAAGGAAAGATGTCATCTGATTTTCAGTTTACAAACAGTGAAAGTGATTGTCTTGCCAAATGAATTGGAGGTAGCTCCATTTATCGAACATTAGGATAATCATCGGGCCTCCCGGCTGAAGCTTTGTTGACGCGCATGAATAATTGCTGCAGCAGATGCGCTACGGGGAAATGAATATCCACCATGCTAATGATTTAAAGTTCAGGGTGATCTCCGGATATTAGCAGGCACCTTGAAGCCGAGCTGCGTCGTGCAGTGATGGTTTCAATAGGCATGCATCCATCCGAGATGCCTTTTATGAGAAAATGAAAATACGACGGATTTAGATTTTAGTCTGCTGTTTTTTTATTACTAAGTAACTGTAAAAGAGAAGAGGAAGTACCATCATAGAAAACAGATAATAATGTTGTCCAATTCCTTTGTCTATTCCTTTTTGTGCTCCTCTTCTCCCGTCTGGATCCAGCAAACCTGACAGGTAACCACCTCCAAGGATTTGTCTATCTTTTCTTTTTTTTTTTTTTTTTTTTGATATTAATGAATCATTTGAGTAAATGAAATGCCACCCTAATCACAGTCTTTGGAATTTAAAAAAATGGCAATGTTAAAATAAAATTGTAAACTCTGTAAAGGCACGTATGAATGCTGACAATTAACCACTAACGGTTGATACCTCTCAACATATCATAGCAGTCCCTTGTTTGCCTGTAGCTATCATTTTGGCTTGACAGTTACAGTCATCACCTCTCACCAATGTAATTGTCTATTTTTTTTGTTCACGATTATGTTTTGACAGCTTCAGTCCAATATTTCCAAAATAAGAGCTTGCCTCATTTTGTGCTTTGAATGAGTTGCAAGCTGTTGTGAAAGCGCTATATAAATAAAGACATATTGTTTTGCGTTGTATCGTAAGAGGCTATTAAATATACTTGAAAATAAGCAGAAAAGGAATCCAATGACTAATTTGTTTTTGTTGTTTTATTTTTTTTTACACGCCCGCTAGTCTCTTAGCATTCACACAACAAGCATCCTGCAACACTTTGTGAATGAAGTTGAGTATGAAGTGCTGAAGTAAATCAAGTCAAGCTGCATGTAACACTTGTCTGATGTTTATTGCCAGGAAACGAGCCGAGGCCGAGGGCAGAAAGGGCAGTTTCCCCTGCAGCAAAGCCATGTCGTCTCACCATCCCACTGATCCTGTGGAGTTGCGTAGAATCAACTTCCAGACCCCGGGTAAGCATATCGACTCAGAGACTCACTTTTGGCTCCTTTTTAGTTTTGTTTCTTTTAACGATGGTATTGTTTCCTTTTCAGCCTACCGCGTATCAGTGTACCGTGGTTATCGGCGTTTGTCAAGTTAGTTGGTCTCACGGTCCAGCAAAGATATGCTGTCATCGTTTTCTTCCTCGCCGGTTCATTTCTTCTCATTCTGTGCTCCTTTGTAAATGTTCGTGCTAACTAACTTTCATCCCACGTAGGATGAAGCTGCTTGAATTGACAACATATCGTCAATAAGCTTTTTGTTGTACAGTGGAACCGTCTAAGGTTGAATGCACTTTTTTTTTTCCCAGCCACGCTTGTCAACTTGGGTATTGTTTGTACTTCGGAACTAATGTATTATTCCCGTCGAAAATAAAGTGATCCGGTGTCATCTCGTTAATTAAACGCCACATGGAAGCTGTTGAGTAAAAAGATGTGACGCCGCTAAAATAAAATAGTAAAAACGATCACGGGCATTGAATGACCGAGGCACAGATGGAGATATCGTCTTGCGTCTTGCAAGATGAATCGCAATGCAGTTAGTTTTTGGAGTGTGTCTTTCATTCTTCATCAGGCTCATACTGCGAGCGACGAGGACCGAGACAAATGTGTTGCCCTATATCACAATGAGTTCAATGGCTGCTGCTTTGGTTGTCATTTGACTTCATCAGTGTCATTACAAAAAAAAAAAAAAAAACACCGAAGAAGCAAAGAAAAAAAACAGGCATAATTCTTTCTGGTTTTCACTGAGATTCTTAAGATATATTTTGACAAAAAGGGCGGAGGGGGAAAAAAAGCAAGAAAAATCAAAAAGTCCAAAATTGTAGAAGCGCTTTTTAGCCTGCTGCAATGCAGTTCTAAACTCCAACCACAATAAAACTCTGTCAATCAGAACAGATACTGATTATTATATTTGTGTAAGTGACGTTTACGTGAAACACGCTTGCCTTACATTGATTGAAGTCTTGCGAGATAAGCAGAGGAGTATTTTTTTGTAAACATATTCCAACTGGGACGTTCAGGGGCATTCGAATTTAGAGGTTCCACTGTATTTTATTAAAAGTGGCTCTTCCCTTGCCGCAATGTTAAATTTTTTAACCGTCTGTGTCAGAACCTTTTTTTTTTTTTTTAAATCTCCACCAGCCGTGTTGCATCGACTCAAAGGACATGTTATTGTGCCTCAGTAACTTTCCAAACACGCACATTGTTCTTTCTGTCTGCTTTGGAGAGAGAATGGTCACTTAACAAATAAACACTCTCCGCTGTGACTGTGGTCAAACTCAGAAAGAAAAACATCTCTGAGGATCTTGTTAACTCTCTTAACATTTTCTCCTTTCCAAAAACGAGTTGAGTTGTACATGTTCCAAAATGGCCTCTCTTTTTTTTTTCTCTCTCTCCTCGTGCTCGGCAGGCATGGCAAGTCACCCACCCGTCCCCATCTCAGAACTGGCAGATAACATTGAGCGCCTCAAAGCAAACGACAATCTCAAGTTCTCACAAGAGTACGAGGTAGGAATGCCAATCGTTTGCCTCCCCCGACCGAAAAGCTCGAACTTGAGGACTTTGTCTGGTCCGCATCCACGTTGAATTGGGACCGTCACTTCTTGCCAAGTTGTAATAACTTTGGATATATTCTTGAAGAGTTTCCTCGCATTCTAGTATGCATATAGCCAACTATACGGATAAACTCTCCGGATGAACATCTTTAATTGGGTGGTGTGGGAGCAGTAATAGCCTAGTCTGTAAAGACTTGGCTTTGTAAGTTTAAGATTCATTCGTTCAATCATTTATAAATTCTCAGCCATTTTTCCTGTTCAGAGTTGTGGTTGAGATGGACTGACTTTGGGTAAGAGGCCTGTACACCCTGGACTGGACATCAGTGATTCACAGGCCACAAAAACATTCACAACTATGAGCGATTTCAAATTTCATTAACCTCTCACGCATGGTTTTTGTCACGCGAAAGTAAAATGCGCTGACCGCATTTGCCACCATGCCTCTTGACTCACTGTGGAAATATATGGAAGTTGGACAGGCCATGATCAAACATCCCAAGAACTTGGAAGAGCTCAAGTCCAAGGCTCTGAAACCCTAAATCTTGTGCAATCCCATTACTCTCGACATCTTTGTGTAAAAAGTATTTCCACTCAGGGATCAGCAAATTATAGATTCATAAATATTTAACCAATCAATCTTCATCATCTTGCCAAGTCTTTTTGGACAATCGCATGCTTCCAACTTTGAGGGAACCGTTTGGCCACGGTCCTTCTATGTTGTCAGCGTCTAAAGCAAAGTACATAGAGGAATGTTTGACTGAGTTTGGTGTGGAAGAACTACAGTACCGACCACCGACCTCACGTTAATGACCTCTGACGTCACGCGTTCCGGATGAGTGCACATGCTTCAAAATATTCCCGCAAGAATTCCCTGAGAGATGTCAATGGGGAACGACTGCATGTTGTCTTATTGCCGGCTGTCCCGTTACTTTTGCCTTTCTAGCATACTGCATATTGATCAAAGCCACGCAAGATTGAGCCCATTTCCCATTCTGCTGTCAAGCTCTTATCCACACAGCCCAAAGATGGAAATTGAAAATGCAAGGCTCAAGGAAAGTTTGCTTACAGCCAGATCGTTATCCGGTCCACTGGTGCAGAAAGAGGAGAGGCAGATAGAAATATAAAGGCACTGCAGCCTCACCATGAGACACATAAAGCCAGTCACTGTGGGCTCGGCGGAGGTTTTTCTTGCACCACAGTCGATGTCCGTCACAAAAAGGCTCCCCAAAATACTGGCAGTTTAGCAAATAGAGCTAGCGTCACAATTAGCTCCACAGAGAGATATTGACCAGAGTTTTTGGATCAGGGCTGTATTGAGTGATGGAGACATGAGCCTCTAATTGGCTTCCACACGAGAGGGATCAATGGTGTGTGGCGGTCGTATAGAGGAAGACAAGAGCACATTATAGAAACGAGTAGAAAACCAGCTTGAGGGCGTTTGAAACGCTTTGGGAGAAGCCTTGGAGAAGGATGGACGAGCCGGTGGAGGAAGCAGCCGTGCGGTTTGAGCCTCCCGGCTTTCTCTCTGCATGACTGTGTGCTTTGTTCGCCGGCGAGCCCCTAACGAGTGAGCTGGAGAGATGGATGGCGAAGGCATTGAGGGGGGAGAGCAGAAATGATTGCGGTGAAATAATCAGACACACATGATATTGGGCAGAGCAAGAGGATCAGCCTGAAACACACACACACACACACACACACACACACACACACACACACACGCATGCAGCAGCACACGCACACCCACAGTACCACCCCTGTCCATTTTCCCCCAACCAAACCATAATTATGTGTCGTATAATATTCACAATTGCTAAATTGCTCTGGCTCTTTCGTCCTCATCTCTCTCCATTGACAGCTCCATAATGACCTCATGTCTGCCTCTCCCTGCTTGCAGAGATGCTTACACTGTAATTACCCTCCAGGAACTTAATGTGTTGGTCTAACACAACTATCCTCTCTTTCCCGGAGGAATCTTTTTGAGCGCGTATCATCTTTCTCTGCGAGTTCTCCCCCTCTGTAGACAGCGGAAAGTCCCGACATCCTTTCTGTTTTATGTCTCGAAACTCAAGATCCCGTTTGGCCTGCATGCCAATGTTCATGTTGCACTCGATTTGGAATAGTCAGTGGTGCATTGCGATTGGCCAAAATGCAACCTTAACTGCGCTCTGCGATCGACTGGCGACCAGTCCGGGGCGTACCCGGCCTGTCGCTCAGAGTCAGCTGGGTTAGGTTCCTGCTCCCCTGCGATGGGAATGACGACAAGAATAGTAAATGGGTGGATGGAAACAGCATCCAAGATTGCCAACCACAGAGGTAGTCACAGACTCATTCTCATTATTCCTATTTTTATTCTTCCATACAAATTTTAATCCTTGGATTGGATGAATTTCTTCAAATGAAAAAAAATTACGGAATTCCAGTGACTTTGAATTGGCCATGATATGAATCTTGAATTATTTTTATTGGTGTTGGTGGTGTTGTTGTTATTACATTATTATTTCATCAAATACATGGTGCCTATATACCTATATTTTAAAATATTTTTTTTTCGAGAGAATTGCACAAAGATAGTCGCCGCTTGTTATAATGCGAATTGAAGCATATTTTTTGATTTGTTGTCATTGCTTTGTAGCGGTGTAAGATTGCACCAAATCCATTGAGAGGTCTTCCTAATGTTTGGATCGCTATTTACTTTGACTGTTTAGTTGTCTAACTGTTTCAAACGATTTAGTACTCTGAGAGCATAACCCTCTTTGTAAGGGATGATTTATTTATTTTGTAGTAAAACTCTTTTATTAAACTGGATGCATCTAATATTGTGGCTCGTGAATGTGTGTAGCATAAAGAGGAGAGGGCCCACTTCAAGTCAACACGGGTGTGCAGTAAACCATGATCAATCTGAAGCTAATGGAAGAGGAAGTACATTAGGTTTATACTCAAGAAAATCTTTAAGCTCCAGCACATGAAACATTGCCATTCTGGCTCCTCTACATGCTGTTCCAGATGTCATTTCTACATTTTCCTTCAAATCACGGCACCCAAACATCCATGCTGTGGTGATTTGTCAGACTAGCACAGCTGCCAGACCATATGCAGGAAGAACCATTTCAAAAACAATCTTTCATTTGGATTCAAAATACTGTCAAGTGCCAATGTGCAGGAAGAACCATTTCAAAAACAATCTTTCATTTGGAGTCAAAACACCGCCAAGTGCCAACGTGCTTGTGAACATCATCCAAAACAAGCATGAGGCCCGATGTTTGTTCGCCGACTCTTGACGGTAAGTTTTGTCTTTTTTGTGCTTTGCAGTCGGTTGACCCCGGTCAGCAGTTCACGTGGGAGAACTCCAACTTGGAGGTCAACAAACCAAAGAACCGCTACGCTAACGTCATTGCGTACGACCACTCCAGGGTGATACTCTCTGGCATTGAGGGTAAGACAAGTTGCCGGCGTGTTTGTGTGTGGGCGTGTGCTTGCACGAATTTGCCCTTGTTTCAGATTTCGTCGACACGTCGCCGGACATTTTGCAAATGGGAGATATTTTTCTGCGGTTTGCGCTGTCGTGTACACATCCCTGGAGATAATTTTTTCTTGAAAATAAAACAGATTTCTGAAAAATGGAGATTTGCGAATGTGTCTGCATCCAGACGTAACCTTAGATTTTAGGACCGTCCATCAGTCAGTCCGTTACCACCACTCGGTCACTCTGTCCTGCAGCTCCGGCATGAACAGTATTTGTGTTGTTTTTTCTTTTTGCTCCGCCTCCACGACGACGTCACATCACAGAAAAGTAACTTTTAGAATAATACATAAATAATTAGCTGTTAGGAAGCATAGAAGGTTTCGTTTATTTCACAGCTCAGAAAGCCAGAACTCAAACAGAACAAGTATTGTAATTGATCTACATAATTTATATCACAGTATGCGAGTGAAAGAAAATCTCTCTTCCTCTCCTTAATGTGCCCGGAGGCACATTCAGCCACCTCAGGTGCGATAGACCAGAGGCAGAGAATCTGGCAGCCGCAATATTGAGAGAGTGAGGAAGTGGGAGGCCAAGCCCAAACAGATGAGCCTTATCTGGGCAGAGCATGTGTGAGGAACCCCCCCCCCCCCGCTCCCCCAGCCCAAGCCCTCCCTACGTGTTCTTCAGCGCTGTCTGTCCGTCTGTATCTCTGTGTAAAATACGTATATCTGCACACACAGTTAAGCATGAAACAATAATTATGCAGAAGTTGTACACAGCAACGGATGTGCACAATCACTTCCAGACGTCTCCCTCTCTCTCTCTCTCTCTCTCTCTCTCTCTCTCTCTCTCTCAGCGTCGCGTGTGTTGTCT